TTCGGGAATTCTTAGTTAGTACATAATCATATTGTTGCAAGTACAATCAATTTTATATGGGATAGAATAAGTAGCTATTGTAATTATGTACTTTTAACTAAACATTAGACTAAATGAACAGTAGTAAACATGTTCAGTTATTCAAATGAATGAAAAAGAATACTATTGAATAGTTTAATAGGTCAACTTTTCCTTAAAATATAACAACAACAACAGTTTATACTTTATTGCATATCGATTCATCGACTTTGAAAAATAGTTTTAAAAAGTTAACTTATTCTTACGAAGAATTAGCTTTTGATTGAGATCATGAACCGATTGATGTTAGACCATCATTCAAAACCTGGAAGCACTGGACGGCCATTTCGTCCTATTGTGAAACTCCTCAGCAGTGTGCATCCTCGCGGGAATCGAACCCAGGACCTTCAATCTCGCGCAAGAACGCTTAACCTCTAGATCACTGAGCCGGCATCCAACGGTTTTCAATGATGGTCGAACATCAATCGGTTCATGATCTTAATCAAAAAGTTAGTTATCTCCACAACCCTATAATGATAAAAAGTTAGTTATTTTTAAGGTGAATAGAAAACTAGTTACTGACTATGATGACTAATCTAAGTGAAAAATAAAATTATTTTCAAGCTTAGCTTTGAAACGACGTGAATGTTTGTACTGCTACTACTAACAGGAATGTGATTCTAATGACATATCTTTTTAAGCCAGTTAGATTAATAAGACATTGGCTATCATACTAGACAACATTGTTGGTAAAAAGTACATTGACGTCTAATCATTATCCACATTATACTGTAGATTGTTGTATACTGCCATTTGAGATGTATTAAATAAACATATGCCATTATAATAACTTATTGTAGAGATACAATTTCCCCAATCCTTGTCTAAAATTATATTTTGGCATTGATTACTGATCTAAGAACAGATGTATGGACTTCAGAGATTATAAGGGCATGAAATGGTTTTTATTTCTTATGTACTATCGGTTAGTACCAGTGTTGTGTATGCTGCTTATGTTGACACATATAAGTAGTATGTAGCATTGATCGAATACAGGTTACCTGGCAGAAGAAGATTGCAATGAAGAAAACAGGTAGGAAATCTGACCACAATCGAAATAACAACATAATTAGAGGAATAATAGAGTATGTAAAGCACAAAGTAACGAAGATGTGCAAATCATGTTCTTAATATATGATTTTTATATTTTACTAACTAATTGTGTGATTTTGCATTAAACAGTAAATTGGTTTTATCCACTTGCGTTCCCGTTCACTAATACAATAGTTGGATATAAGGCATTTACGCCTTTTGAGAAGTAGTTATAATAGGGAAAATATGACGACACATTATCGTGAAATATTATTTCGTATAGATATATAGAAACTGATTAGGAGATTCTAGGACATCTCGATGAATAATATATTTTATCTTAATTTCGGTTGTCAAACTAAATTTCAAAAATAGGGGTATTTTAATTCCCATTTATATGATACAAAAGAAATTCGTTGATGTGGTTGTAAATTGTCAGTCAGTCAACTACAACGTAGGACCAGGCACATATATGTATCGGTCCAAGTTGCCATATCGCATTAGCACAACAAGATGAATTTCAAATTCATAGAAATAGTTAATTCAATTGTGGTAATATATAAAAGAAAGATTGTGTATAAGGACATAGTACAGGAAGAAAGAAGCGACTTTAATCTCATAGTTTACGAGAAGACAGAGTGTGTACACCTACGCCATGGTGATCGATTCTGAGCCATTTCACCCACTGGACTGGATAATAGGAACCAAGTAAACAGAGCAGCTTCCCTGATATGTGGCAGAAGTATCTGAACTATTATAGTTAGAGTAATGCAGAGAAATTTGATCTGGTCACCACTACGTCTCTACGGTATTGACGAAGATATTGAAATAATTATTGAGATTTATTTAAAAAACTACTTAAGACTGTACAGAAGTTTGTGGAAAAGAGTAAATTTGATCTATATAAATGGGCTTCTTTAAGCGAGGAAAAGCAAAGCCAATCTAAAAATGTCCATCCATCACATAAAAGTAGTATTTACTTTGGAATGTTCTTTTTGTTGCTTAAATTCTTCCTTTTTTCATTACTGTTAAAGGTTAGAAACGACTAAAACTTCTTCTAGGTCATTTTGAACAGTCTATGAAAGTTAGACGTAAACTATTCAACTTAAACACTACCTGGATGTTATGACCGTCACCGCGAAATTTCAATACCTTAATTCAGATACCTATTATGGTTGTGGGCTTATTTGGCTAAAACTTTCCAAGCTATGATGGGAACTTCTGAATGCTATCTGATCTTAATCGATTTGTTAGATTTTATTTGTTCAACTTAACTATTTTGGCAATTCAAGAACACTTCCACAGGTACCTGACATAATAACAAAATCTCAGTAGCTTATACAATAAAACTACAGAATAAAAGTCTTTCAGAAAAATCTAGACTTAAGACAACATATTAGGTTTATTGAAGTTTACTTAAATAAACCATGAGTAGTTTCTGAAACCTGACCACAAGTATGATTGGCCTGGCTATTCATTAAAATCCAAAGATTCAAAACAGGTTAATAGATTCGATGTTATAATGTTAAAATCAATTATGAATGTTTCTCTGTCATCTTGGAATTATATATAATACAGCCTTTTCAACCATTTACAGTAGATGCATACCTCTTGTTATAAGGCTGAATTTAAAATGATTTATGTAAAAGATATAATTTTCTGAGGCAATTACGTACATATTAACCAGTTAACAAGTCAACAAAATGCTAGTTACGCTCATTGAAAACTGATAATAACAGTACCGATTGGAATATGACTAGAATCACTTGTGTGATACATAGTTGTAAATTACTGTTCAAAACTTCTCAATGGTTACGATTCATTTGTTTAAACGAGTACCAAAAACAATCTTTTTATAATAGACTTAGCGGAAATGAGTTCAGTAGAGTTAGAATAGTTTATTAACTAGAAATATATTAATTTAAGACAATGGTTCATAAAGGATTCTGTTTTGAGATTACAAAACATATTTTAAAAATCTAATGGTATTTATTTTTGGATTTGAGCTACTTGGCAGTGTTAAAGCAGATAGGGTAGAGACTAATATCTACCTCACTATAATGGAAGATGGTGGTGAAATTTCGTGCATTGGTTGAGGTTACACATTAACACCGTCGAATGCTGGCTAGCTCAGTGGTCTAGAGGTTAAGCGTTCACGCGTGAGGATGAAGGTTCTGGGTTCGAATCTCGTGAGGACGAAACGGCCATCCAGCGCTTTCAGGTTTTGAATGGTGGTCTAGTTTCAATTGACTCATGATCTCAACTACTAAAATTACTATAACATCCACAAAAACCCCTTCTGATATTACAATTACTGTCTGTTTACATTTCTGTTCTCTTCAGTTCAATCTTCTCAATCTTTTTCTGCCAGGCATTCTACTTCTGAATGATGTTACATACTACTTATGTTGACAGACATAAGTAACATACACCACAAAAGCAATATTGCAAGTTAACATAATGTCAACCTCTGCCAATCTAGTTTCATTTAACATCTTACCATCTTTGAATCATTGTTTACTGATATTTGAGGGAAAATTTACTGAAGTGAAAATAAATGATCACCTTAGTGGAAAAGATTACTTTTAAGATTCACAACTAAGCTTACAGGGTAATTTTAAAACCACCAAATTATTTTGGTTAACACAAGGATATTTATGCAGTTTTGAGAAATTTCATGTGGATGTCTTTCCACGATCCAGCTAAAATTGAGCTATTAAGTTATTTACCTTGGTGAATAGTAGTTGGATAGTATATCCAAATCGGTCTTATTCCGTATTGATATTGATGTGTAATAATCATGAATTCACTTTGTTTCCCCACCACATTTTCTATGAGGATGTATAGTCAACTTGGTATGAAAACTGAACACCCAACAAAATTTATAATGAATTCTTCTTTTACTGGTATTCAAAATGATTGATTGTAATGACGAAATCTAAGACTGATTACACCATAGTTCATTTTACGAATAGTAATAATCGACTAGACATTGCTGAGGTGATATCTAAATGTGGTCGCGTTAAACCGCAAATGCCCTGGTACGACCGAAATTGGGGAGAGTCAGCTCTCACATGGCCACGTGCATACAACCACTACCACACAAGTCCTATTCACTGCCTTCTCAAGACATTACTGTTGTTTACGAAGTTGAGAAGACGAAAAGCGAATGTCCAGTGCTTTGATCGAGTTGGTGGACACGGAGGGTCCATATAGAGGAGTTGGATAACTCTCATTCCAAACCAGTCGTGTACATGGGTTGGCTCCAGTATCCTGAGAAAACAAATGACATATGAAACTATTGTTATTTACCGGTTACCATTGGTCTGCATCTCCTGACGTTGCTCCACTGCCTTGAAGATCAGACTTTTAGGTCGAAGTGTTGCCCTCTAAGAAAACCACCTTCTTTGGTTTAGGAATCCGTGCAGTATCTCTACTTTCACACAAATCGAATGATTTATGTGGCGCATATCTATTTGCTGCTTTTTTGTACCAATGTTTATGTGTTTAAATAAATAAATCAATCAGGAATAACTGTCTTGGGTTGAAATCTATTCTTACATAGGTAATACAACATTAATTTGTGATTGGTTAAACCATTAAGACATGTCTTTGATTTTAACGAATATTATTCACTTAGTGTGCAACATTGTACTAGTTGTGTAGCAATTTGTGTTTGGAATTCGATTTACTAAACTACATTATCCTTACACTCCTTATTGGTTCATATTATTATCCCTATTCATTTTATTTGGAAATAAAATCAATATCCTTATAGATACAAATTTATTTTGCATTAAGATAACTAACACTAAACCATTCTGCCCAGAACACTGAAACAGGGCGCACCATATTTTTATTCTACAGTGATAATAATAATAATAATTACCATGGCAACAAAATATAACATGTCAATTCAATTATTTTTACTTTTTGTCAATATAATCCTAATTCGCATCTCTCAATGTAGTGAAAATAATGATTATAATTATGAACCTTTCAAACATTTACAATATCCAACTGTAATGAAAGATATAGAAGATGAATGTGAGAAATGTGATCGTAAAAAATGTCCACCTATTATACAATGTAATGTTGGTACAGTACGTGATAAATGTGGATGTTGTGATATTTGTGCATTAGAAGAAGCTCAATTATGTAATATACCTGAAGATTTTAAAAATGGTATTTTAAAACCAGGAATTACATGGCATGGAATATGTGGTACAGATTTAGAATGTCGTACACGTACAGATATTGACTCAAAGATAATTGGATCGCAAAGTATATGTTATTGTGTTAAACCTGGTAAAGTATGCGGTTCTGATGGTGTAACGTATTCAAAGTGTAAAATGAATGCAACAATCATCTCATCGAATGGTACAGTTATTCCAATTAGTGAAGGACCCTGTCAAACTGGTAAGTTACTTTTTCTAAAGGTTTATAGGTGATTATTCAAATTAATTTTAAAATAAGTAAGATTTTCTACGACTATGCCAAAATACAAAGACACCTAAAGGATGCTTCTTCTTTGATTGAACTAACTTAAAAGTATACAGTCTCACTCTTTCTACTATTTATTCTAAGAGGTTCAATTATCATAAAGATTTTGCTTATATTATGGTAATAATTTTGGATTTGATATCATAATCTCAATTACTATCTGTTTAGTTTTACTACAACATGAGTTGGAGTCCCAGTAAACAGATTTTTCTTACTCTACAACTTTGTCCTGTAAGATATGACTCACGACTCTAAAAAGGTATGGAATCTAAAAGCTTCAGCTTTTGAGGCTAATATAGTATTATATAAACTTAAATACCATCCACTGGTATTTGCTCCATGTATGACATGATTAACTAGACAGAATTTTATTAAAACTATAAGTTATCAATCTTTCGCCAAGTTACAAGTTATTTCGTTAGCTGATAGATTAATTATAATGATGCCTAGTTGCTATCCAGAAACAAGAATATAAAATCTCGACATAACGTTATATTAATTGAAGTTTCCTGTGTTCTTATTATTTATTTATTTAAACACATATACACTGGTACAAGGAGGCACCAAAGGTCTAATCCACAAGGCAGTGGAGCAACGTCAGGAGATGCATTCTCATGATAGCCAGTAACCAATAATTGGTTCATACGTCATTTGTTTCCTCAGGACCCTGGAACTCATGTGCACCATTTGTTTGGAATGGGAGTTTTCCAACACCCCCACGTGGTTCCTCCATATTCACCAGCCCGGTTGGAGTGCCGGACATCCGCTTTTCATCCTCTCAATCTCGTAAATAAAACCCTCACCACTAGAAGGCATTGAGTAGAACTTCCCTGTTGGTAGTTGTATTCACGTAGCCTCTTGAGAGCATTTGAAGAGGGAGAGTTGTCTCTCCCCACTCTTGGCCGCACTGTCAAAGAAACTGCCTTTCAACAAAGATTGTTTGCTTATGTTTAAATAACCACGACTTTGGTCATCGTCTGAAAATACCCAGTTTGGTTAAATGGGTCTAGTGATTTTGTTTTGTTATTTATTTCACATAAAACGAATGGGATTATTGTGACACTTTCCATTGTTGTTGATAACAGATTTAAAAGTATTCAAGATATATTGAATGTTTTGAACATACAATGATTACTTTCAATAAAGATGTTTAAATATTTGTCAATAATCGAATGCAATGTGAGTCACTTCTTTACGTTCTATCATACAATTGTAAACGAATGTTGGAAGTCACAAAACAAAGTATATTTGGTCGTTGACTGTCATATCTTCATCCACTGTTATAGATGTATCAAGTTAATAATAATGGAATTAGATATCAATACTTTGGTTATAAATTTAAATATGGCAAGCTATGTGTCTGTGATGTCCACGAAATTTAGTGCCTGGAGTGGAGTATGAGTAGAATGGAGGATGTAAAAATATATGGAAATAAATAAGGAATGCATAGTATGTGTTCGTTAATTGGCAGTCAAAGCCATTTGGAAAACTTTTGATGGAGTTTTGTTCTCTGAACTGGATGGTTTGGTCGTGGAGCTTTCATCGTTCTTCTGAACGACATCATCAGCACAAACTTCAGGTAGAAGCTTGGGTTGATTAAGTGAATTTACTAATGTTTCAACCAATCTTAGGACCTAATTCACTGATTACGTTACTTATTCAATCCATAAGAATTAATCAACATTAAGGACTAAATAATATAGCATTGATAATTACTTAACAATGGTTGGTTGAGTAATGCATTTTTTTCATTGTTGACATTTTCTAAAACTTTATTGCAGTTGTAATTGTGTAAAGACTTATTCCTTTTTAAGTATGTATTCATGAGCTTATTAAATTGGTAGTTATAACTAATGGAGTTTTCTTATCCGTTTTATATTATTTTATTTTTCGTCCTCTTAATTTCGTAAACAGTTATGCCGCGAGAAGGCAGTGAATAGGACTTGTGTGGCAGTGGCTGTGTACGCATGGCTATGAGAGAGCATTTGGAGAGAGGGAGCTAACTCTCTGCACTCTCGGCCGTGCCAGGGCATTCGATGGTCAGTGGATGACTTAACAATACATCAGGCAGAACGTAGCTTGCAATCAAGCTAATAATCCTGTACAGATTATCACGTTCAATAACTCAACCACTTTTGATCGCCTCGAAATGATCAAGGCAATTATTTGTACAAAGCCTATTCCTTGAATTAAATTACTCAAATCAATTGAAGGGATTAATTTCAAAAATGTTCCTTATTCACTATGCTATACGTTATTTTGACAGTTTTTAAACAGAAGAAATGAAATAAACTAAACCATTTGGTTTGAAAGTGTTCATACAACTTAAATGAGGAGGAAAATTAGACGTGTCAACTCTTCAAGCCATCGACATTTAATAATCAATATGTAAAATAACACAAATAGGAAATGAAATTGATTAAAACGAACGATGAACGGTATATCTGCATATACGATTCACCCGCCCTATACTAGATACTGAGCCAGCACTATTCTATCAGATATCAACACAACTCAAATCAATAACACATGGCTCATCTGTCTGGTACATGTATCAGCGGAAAATTAAAAATGGACGGCTGATATTATTGCCATGGTTATTGTGTTTTCTGACCTTCATTAATAAGAACTTATGGAAATGATTAGAAATATCAAAAATTAGTGATTAATTAATTTGTATTTCAAAATTTGTGCTCATGTGTCTAGGAACAAACATTTTATTGTCTGTAATAATTTATTAATTGGCTATAAATTGTGCATTGTTTTAATCTGAATAGTGAACATCACTATCTACAAAAACTAGATGGACCACCATTGAAAACCTAGAAGCACTGGATGGCTGTGATCAGTGGAGTACAATCCGTGTCGGGTGGAAAAACTTATCTCTTTCAGATAATGGATCAAGGGTTGCCCAATATCATGGATCGACCGAATCAAACGTTAACATCTTTGGATGCCCGCTCAATGGTCTAAAGGTTAGGCATTCGAGTGCAAGACCGAAGGTCCTAGGTTCGAGTCCCTCATGTTGGGCCGCGGATGTACACTGCTGAGGAGTCACATACTAGGACGAAACGGCCGTCCAGTGCTTCCAGGTTTTCAATGGTGCTCTAAAATCAAACGATTCATGATCTCAATCAAAAACTTAATAATCGTTACAAGCCCATACTGATAATTAAGGTATGTGTTCAGCCACCTTTACTTGCAGCCCACGATTGACCCTCCATATGTGCGTGTTTCCGCACATACATGTAAATTGATGGACGAAATCGGATGTGACACAATCGCTTACATGCGATTTGACTTTTGGTAAAACATAGACCTTGACTTTTCAATAATGATAGTTGGGCTGAATAAAATGTTTTGTTGTTAGCCAATTTAAGTCTCCGTTTCAACATGAGACTATTTAAGTTACCTCTAAATGGTAAAGTAATATGGATTGGCTTTTTAGGTGCCAAAAACGTCCGAGGTCTCATTGAATTGCAACACTTTCAGCAGTCCATGAACTTCAATGTATAACCGCTATTCATTAATGTTTCAGTTAAAAGCTTCGTGTCTCCTTCACTAGTATCACTAATACAAATATGATTGATTCTATTTAATAGACCCTTTACTAATCCACCTTTGTAATGAATCAGGCCGAGACTATGTAAATTAAGATGTCCATGTCGGTTTTTTATATACGGAACGTTTGATGATACCATCATCTCTCCTACTAATCAGTGTGTCTAGAAAAGGAAGTTGATTGTTCTTCTTTTCTTCGCATGTAAGAGAAATATGCTTTTGACTTGTGTTGGGTTATTTTTACAAGCGGTTCACATCTTCACGTTTACCCCCTATGATTATGATGTACTGCTTACATAGATACATCTTTTGAATTGAATCTTCAGCTGGATTTTCAATATATCCCATAAACACATCAGCCAGCAACGGTCCTAAAGGACTACCCATAGCTAGGCCATCGATTTTTCGAAAGTGTTCACCCTCAAAAGTGAATTTTACATTGTCTGTACACAATAATAATAATAATAATAATAATAATAATAATAATAATAATAATAATAATAATAATAATAATAATAATAATAATAATAATTCTTTAAGAGTTTTAACATGAAATGGAAAAGTAAGGTTATTCAATGAGATATAGTCACATAAAGTATCAACAGTTGCACGCAGGACATCCTGGAATAAATTGCATGAAAGCACTAGCACGAAGTTATGTATACTGGCCGCATTTAGACACCCAAACGGAGCAGCTCACCCGTTCGTGTACCAAATGTGCATTAGCAACCAAAGCACCGCGAAAAACAGTGCTGAAATCATGGCCAATACCACAGTCATCGTGGCAGCGTATACATTTGGACTTTGCTGGTTCACTTCATGGACAAACTTACCTTTTGGTGATTGATGCCAGAAATTTTTCTCATGTAAAAACTATAAACATAATAACGTTTACCCTATTGTGCTTCTTGCTTCCATCTAACCTTGTTATTTGGAATATAATCTCTTTCCTGTTCAACCGTGTTCTGTTTTGGGGACTTGTCGAGTGATTTGGTGTCCAAGAATACTAAGCATTAGGAATAGCTGGGTTATAACCGTAAGAGAGAAATATAACAGAGGTACATTTGTTTTTTGATGGAGTTTTGCTCTTTGAGCTGGATGATTTGGTTGTGGAGGTTTCATCGTTCTTGTGAACGACATCATCAGCACAAACTTCATCCACCTGAGCTACAAATCTTCTCCACCATCTCAAGCACATTTGTGAATAAAATGTTCACATTGAAGCTCATTGTCTTTGTTTTTACATTCATATCCATTAAGTACTTAATTAATCCAATTGAGTCAGTCAAGGAATACTTACAAAATTGATTTCCGATAAGGTTTAATACTTTTGTCAACCATTTTACAAGATTGTGTGTAGATGATCGACACATTGATAGGATTGGACGTTAGAAGGTATTGGGCTTATAAATTTTTGGTGGTCTGTATAAATTAGGATAAAACGAACCTATAGGTTTTAATAAATTAAATTTATCTTTGCTAATAACATTCATGTTAAGCAATTTCACTAGGTTCGCATTGACTTTGAATTCCAATGGTCAAATAAAATCACATGGTAAATAAATATTTCCTCTATTGAGACCGGTCACATCCGATTTCATCCATCAATTTACATGTACGTGCGGAAACAGGTAAACAAGAAGAAGCAATCATGAGCTGTAAGTAAAGGTGGCTGAACACATACCTAAATAGCTGCAAAAACAAATGAATTCTTATGGTCAAATAAGATTACAGGATAAACAAATATCTTCCTCCATTACGAAACATTTGGTTGAAACTGGTCATAAGGCTGATATCAAGTCAGACTCTGTAGTTTTGTACAAAAGCTTTCAAGGGCATATGCTAAGGCTTTTTGAAGCCCTTGGCATACAGAAACTGAAACCCTCTTTGTGTGTTCAAATACAATTTGTTCTTACCCTTAACCTAACCTGAAATATTGATTTATTATCCAGCATAGTTTTCACATTGCTTTTGTGTACTTTATAATAATCTTTCTTTCCGCTATCCTTTTAATTTGTCTAGTTGACCTTTTATTTTTCATATAAAATGTCTTAAAGAGTATATGTGTGATCAGATTGTTGAAAATGTATTACGTAAAACATGGAAGCAATGGACGACCGATTTGTCCTAGTATGGGACTCCTTAGTAGTGCGCATCCATCATCCCACATGAAGAACTCGGACCCAGAACCGTCGATCTTGCACGCGAAAGCTTAACCTCTAAATGAAGGGTTGTGCAAATCATGAATCGATTGAAATTAGACAGTTACATCGGCGGATGCCGGCTTAGTGGTCGACTCATGAAATACTACAATTTTCACAAATCCCCATACTGAAAATGAACAGTTGTTGCCTAATTTGGCGAATTCACAAACATTTGAATTATTTTCCGTTATGCATTTCTATAACATTGTTCTGGAGACATACGCCGGACTTATGAATACAGCCGCTTTTTTCACCTAGGACGCGAATAACACTGTGAGAGTTAGGATATAGAATAGAATCTGGGGTCCAGAACCAAGTACAGTAAACGTATACTTGGCAAATGAATTAGATTAGTTGGAAAATTAAAAACATTAAACAATGTTGAGAATGAGTATAGATGATGACTGTGTTGTGGAGTTTACGGATTGACCAACTGTTTGATCCTAAATAGATGTCACTTGTAATGACAATAAATATATGTTAAATAAATTATATAAACTACAGGCTTGATAGAATTCAGTTATTGACTGCTGAACTGAACTTGGTCTTGGGTAATTCTAGTCTTAAGAGTACAACCATGACAATTCTCCTTCTCCACCGATCACCATTTCTGTTCGCTTCGTTGCTTTGATCGTCTGCCTGAATCAATGATTGTACAAAATATACGTATTCTAAATCCTTTCCCGTATTTAACTTGTTTTAATTCCTTTATTCTCTAACGCGGATTACGTCGATGATTATATACGAGAATTGACTATATATATATTTCGAGAGCAATCAGTCATACGATTTAATTGGAGTCAGATCACAGGTCACTAATGTGATAAGCCCATCGACAACATCGAACTATCTAATTGACGTCCAAATGAAGGGTCCCACTAAAGTGGTGAATCCGATGTGATTTGAACACTCAGACTTTTGATCTGGAGTTAGATATAGGGCCACTAAATACTTCTTCATTTAATCTAGAACAAGCAAATGAAAGTTTAACAAGTTTATTGTATCTCTGAAAAAAGGCTAATTTTAAACATTTTGCTCTAGTTATTACCTTCTGATTACATTGTAAAAAATGGGTAGACCTTAAAAATATTATTAAGTTTTATAAACAAAGATGGTTAGTGGCTGGCAGTGGAATCCAGTTTGACGCGCGTTTCGTCCTATTTGGAACTCGTCAGCTGGATGTACCTGCATCTTAGAGTTGGTGTTCACTCCGGAACTCAAACACAGTACCGTTCGCTTCAAATGCCATCACGTTATCCACTCAGCTACTGAGACCTAATAGCCACTTGCTTGTGCAGGTTTGTTATCTTGGTTAATTTTTTGTGACCCTTTCTCAAAGTTTGTATTATTTGTTTACTTTGTAATAAATTCTTATTTTTTTCCCTACCCCAAGCGCCTTCGGTCAAATTAACTGTATTAAATCAAACTGTTATTGAAGGTACAAATGTTACATTGATTTGTGAAGCACGCGGTTATCCGCTTCCAACCATTACTTGGTATTTTAATAAACCAAATCAAAAGCAGGATAAAATTCAAATGCCAGGTTTGTAACCGTAACTGTTATGGTTTTTATTATTTTTGTTTTCGTTTAGCTAAATTTCTTATACATTTGAAATTGTTCTAATATTGATTATGTCATAGTGTGGTGTATGCTACTTATATCGACATAAGTAGTATATATCGCGATTCAGGAATAGAATGTCTGGCAGCAGAAGTTTGAAAAGATCGACAAGGGAAAAACGGAAACACAAAGTAATTGGTATGGAAATACAGGAACAATGAAGTCTGAGACAATTAATGAGCATTTTGCAAATGAAGTATTAGAGTATGACTTTTCTAATTTCCACAACCCTTTACTGACTTTTATATTTTACCGAGCAACTCTGTTATTTCGTGCTAAATATACTCTAAGTGGTGTGCTATTCTGCGGACGCTGTTGCGGATCTGGAGCTGAGGTACTAGTTGGGGCGGCTAGGTGCAGAGAGGTGACCTCGAGTGCAGTGTTCTGGCGGACGACCTTGGCTGTAGCGCATACTGTCTACAAAGGAGCGGTGGGACGTACGGTTGTTGGGCGGACATCGGACATAGATGGCTCAGTAGGTCGCTAGAGAGCAGGCGTTGGATGTCCTAGGTGCCGGGTGGATACCGGGTGCTGATGGCCCGGCAGGTCGATGGAGCCGTAGAGGTTAGCGCGCCGCATACTCGACATTTTGACGGACAGCGTGGCACAGACTGCAGAAAAGAAGGGAGTGGGACGGCCAGCAGAACCACTGCTCTGAAGGGATGACGAGTGTGGTGGATTGGATTAAAGCATGTTCTGTGCACGATTGTGTTGGTGCACGATAATTGGCTGTTTCTTATTCAATCAGCGCTAGTCGATACTTGGAGAACACTCTGGAATCTCATGTAAACGCTATAAATGTTCTAACGCTTCTTTTATTGTGCTTCTTACTCCCATCTACCCTTTTTATTTAGAATATAGTTTCTTTCCTGTTCAACCGTGTTCTGATTTGGGGGCTTGTCATGTGAATTGGTGTCCAAGACTACTAAGCGATAGGAATAGCTGGGTCGTGATAAAAGAGAGAATTATAACAACCATTTTCATACACCACATAAACACGGTTAGCTGAAGATACTTTTCGTTATCTAGTTAAATCCAACACGTTAATGCAGTATGTTACGGGTAATGAATGTTATAAGAATAAACAGTTCGACGACTGAATCTACAATAATGAGGATGTCATTCTCTTGATCATGTCAGTATGAGTACAAATAATACAGAAGCTAGTCAAAAAACTTCATTAGGTATGCAAAAATTGCAGGAAATTGACATACCATCAAGAATTATTTTAGTTTTGTTCTTACTGAATGCAACTAAGATCATGTTAAACAGTCTGACATAATCTTTTATTATTCATGAAAGGAGTTATTAGTCTATTATTTTTTTCTTATAGTTTCTGAAGAATTAATAATAATAAGGAGAACAAATGCCTTGCTCATGGAAATGGTCGTACGAATAAAAACTCAATAATCTGTTGGTTTCTTGAGTACCCGGATTACAGAATGTAAAATACCAATAGAAAAAAACATAAATAATTAAATTCAATTGGTGTTATTTACTTTTATCTCCCCATTGTTATTTAGGACTGTTATTGGCATATATACATCCTGTGCGGAGTGCCTCGATATTATCTTAAGTCACAAGCTTTATAAAGACTCAGTAGCCGAGTGGATAATGTGATAGCGTTTGATGCGAATGGTACTATGTTTAAGTCCCAGGATCAATATCAAATCTGACATCCAGTTACATCTAGCTGACGAGTCCCAAATAGGACGAAACGCGTGTCTAACTGAATTCCGTCGCTAGCCACTATCCATCTTTGCTTAAAAATTATTGTACTAACTTCATTGGTTCTTTTCACATAAGTATTTAGTTTAAAACTACCTATCTTGAATAATTTTAATTAACAATATATTATTATTTCATTTTTTTTTTATATTTGAAGGTAATTACAAAGATTTTACTGTTAGTGTTCGTGGAGGAACTGAAGAAACACACACTATATCTTATTTACAAATAACAAATTTCATCTTAGAATATGAAGGTGAATATGTATGTATGGCTGATAATATTGTTGGAATTAAAGCACAAGGTACATCATTAGTTAGAAATAGTGCTTCACCAATGTTTTCATCTTCATTAATTTCATCCACTGAATTATATTTACATAATGATGATGATGATGATGATGATGAATCAAAACAATAATACAATTGAAATTGAGTACAAATATTTTTTAAACAAGACACCTTAACTAATATTTACACAAATAAAGGTACATTCTAATTACCCATTAACAGTTTATCTGTTTCTTTATGCATGTTTAATCATCAATTGTTTGTTATTCATTAAAACAAAACGATTAGTTTGCTTTTTTTTCTCTTTTTAAATTGAAATTAACAAACCAAGTTCTAGAAAAATATAACTTTAATTATTAATTCTTCCTTTATAACTAACCTGTTGATTGAATAATTGATCTTATCTTTGTACTGATCATAGTATGATGTGAGCTACTTATATCCATATAAGTAGTAGTATATAATGATAGTCAGGAATAGAATGTATTTCAATGGAAAATCGAAAAGGAAAGAACGAAAATGAAAATCAATTTGTATGAAAATGTAGGAACAATGAAATCTGAGACTATGGATTGATATTTGCAAAAGAAATAGTCAAGTTTTGGACAAATAATGGATATTTTGTAAATTGAGTATTTACTATATGATTCTCAGATTTTATTATGTTTGTTTGTCGAGTTACATGTTAACTGAATCGTTGATCATACTTCGGTACCAATCATAGTTCATTAAACATAAAAGGAAACGATATTGAGATGGTGGGAGATACAATCAAAACAAAGAAGTAAACAATGACAGGTTTAAGGTCAACAAGAACCAATCAACATCGAGGTCTAAAAGACAACCTGTGTACCACATGTAGAGAAAAATGAACACATCACTCCTATCTGAATTTTATACTGATGATGTCGTTCAGAAGAACGATGAAAGATCAACGAACAAACCAGAGAACAAAACTCCATCGGAAACGACATTTGGTAGCACCTTTACCAAAAAAAGTGAGAAATACCACTCAACTTTGATTGCACTAATTTTTTTGATCATCATAATCAAGAAATTCTATTTTGAAATCAAGGATAATAAGACTGGAAGAAAACCTATCTAAAACTGAGATAATAGTTTACTTCAGCTATGAAAATAATGAAGAAATTAACACTTAGTTAGATACATGTAATAATGTTAAGATAGTATCCAAGATATATTCTCTTGACTTCTGTTTGTCAGTATTACCATTAAAGTGCCCCTAAATACCCTGGTACGACCGAAAATGGGAAGGTTAACGTCTCACTCTCCAAATGCTGTCAAGTAGCCACGTGCATAAAACCACTATCAGAGAAGTCTTACTCACTGCCATGTCGTGGCAGGGGTGTTGTCTCCGAAATCAAGAGGATGAAAAGCGAATGTTCGGCGATTTAACCGACTTGGTGGACACAGAGAATTCACTTAGGGGAGTTGAGAAACCCTCATTTCAAACCAATGGTGTACATGGGCTACGGGATCATAAGGAAACAAATGGCGTATGAACTTGTTGTTGGTCACCGGTTACCATGTGGTTGCATCTCCTTACATTGCTCCACTGACTTTAGGTCGAAGGCTCCGGGTGTGGCTCCCTAAGACACTTGGACAATTGAGCAGTATCACAGCCCTCACATAAATCGGATGATTTGTATAGCACATATCTATTCTTATGCCTCCTTGTACTAATGTTTAGATCAGAAGCGGTTTGTGGAGATTTTAGAAATTTCACAGATTGAAATCATGAGTCAGTTGAAGCTAGACCACCATTGAAAACCTGGAAGCACTGGACGGCCGTTTCGTCCTAGTGTGGGACTCCTAAGCAGTGCGCATCCACGATCCCGCACCCCGCGGGGCTCGAACCCAGGATCCACTGGTTTCGCGCGTGAGCACTTAACCATTAAACCACTGAACCGGCATCCAAAGGTGTTAATGTCTAACTTCAACCAATCCACGAAGTTGCGCCACCGTACACCATTGTCTCCAGTGAGCTGATATCTCACAACAGACCTGCTTGAACTCCACTGCGGGATCGTGGATGCGCACTGCTGAGGAGTCCCATACTAGGACGAAACGTTCGTCCAGTGCTTCCAGGTTTTCCATGGTGGTCTAGATCCAACTGACTCATGATTTCAATCTGTAATGTTTATGTGTTTAATTAAAAAAAAAAGAAATAAGTAGCATAAAATATATTAAGTAGTATGTTCACTATTATCATATAATCGTAATCAACTGTTTAATCATTCAAGAATAACTTCTTCTTATTCACTTAATACTTCCATTTTTATTTGTAATATATCTTTTAATCTTTTTAATTCATTTTGTTTCATATCAAATTGATATTGTAAAGATTCAATAGTGTTACACAATTGTATCCATTGTTGTTCTACAATTGTTGTTTCTTTATCAAATTCCATTGTTGTCATTTCAGTTTTATTAAGTAATTCAGTTAATTCATTTTGTTTTAATAAAGTTAAATATGCCAATTTTGTATTCATTAAATAATGATTTGATAATTGAACCATGAATTCTGTATCATCATTATTTTGAACTGATTGACCATCAGTTGTATTAGCTAATAAATGTTCTCTTATAGTTCCATCGGTTGATTGTAAATAACGTATAATACTCTGGTTGTATACGCCTATAAATTTTCTAGATCCTGAACTATAATTATTACAAAAAAAGAACAAGGAAAAGAAAAAAACACACAAACAGTTGCTGTGATATTCACTTGGTATTGTTTTACTTGTATCTTCCCATTGTTATTTAGGACTGCGATTGATCAGTTTCTCGTTGCCATATACTCATCCTGTGCAGATTGCCTCGATATTGCTTTAAGTCACAAGTATTATAAGCAAAGATAGATAGTGGCTAGAACTGATCAACTGCAGTCCTAAAAACATCAATGGGAAAATTCTAGTAAACAATACCAAGTGAATTTAAAACTTCACTCGATTGCAAAAGCAAGTGGTTATCAGGACTCAGTAGCTAAGTGGATAATGTGGTGGGGTTTTAAGCGAACGGTTCTGGGTTCGAGTCCCAGAGTGGACATCAACTTTGAGATGTTGGCCCGTCCATGCGTCTTGGATTCCACTGGTTGATGTGATACTAAGAAATTTCCAACATCCAATACAACACTAATAATCGATATTAATAGTGGAGATCATGAGTGAATTGAAGTTAGATCACCTTGAAAAACCTAGAAGCAATGGTCGACTGTTTCGTCCTATTGTTGAAGTCATCAGCAGTGCGTATCCACGATGCCGCCGCATGACATTTGAACTCAGGACCTATCAGTCTCGCGTGCGAGCGCTTGACCTCTAGACCATTGGGCTGACCAGCATCCAACGATGTTAATGTCTAACTTCAACTAATACACGTAACTGAGCGACACATCGTGGATTCACACTGCGGAGAAGTCCCACAGTAGGACGAAACGGTCGTCCAGTGCTTCCAAGTTTTCCATGGTTGTCTAGCTTCGATTGATTCATGATCTCAACTATTTAACTTACTATAATATCCACAAAACTCTTTCTGATATTTCAGAAGTTGTTTAATAAGAAAAATGAGTAAAAAACATGAATCAATTACTTACTGAACATTTAAATAATCCTTCTGAAATGAATATTATAGATAGTGAATTACATGATTTTGTTGTTATAACAGAACATACCACATTTTTAAATGTTTGTGTATCGTTAAAATTTTCTATTTTATTCAAGTATTCAATCCATCTCTCCGCATATAACTAAATGAGAATAGGAAATTTTTTTATAGCAAAAAGAAAATTAATTGTTTATATCTGTTAATTAAAAACAACTTTCAACCAATATCAAGGCAGTTCTACTGTATGAAGCTGAAACTTGGAGAACTACAACAACCACCATCTAGAAGGTACAAGTATTTATAAATAGCTGTCTTCGCAAGATACTCAACATCCACTGGCCGGATACCATCAGCAACAGCCTTTTGTGGGAGAGAACAAATCAGCTTCCAGCTGAAGAAGAAATTAGGAAAAGACGATGGAAATGGATAGGACACACATTACGCAAATCATCAAACTGCATCATGAGACAAGACGTAACTTAGAATCCTGAAGGGAAGCGAAAAAGAGGAAGACCTAAGAACACATTACGTCGGATAATAGAAGCAGATATGAGAAGGATAAATAACAACTGGAAGGAGCTGGAAAGGATTGCCCAGGAGAGGGTTGGATGGAGAATGCTGGTGAGCGGCCTATGCTCCTTCACGAGGAGTAACAGGCGTAAGTAAGTAAGTAATCTGTTAACCTGATCGAATTTCTTGGAACAATCCTTAATTAGTCAACATATGCTCATTAGATCCTGGCTTCAAGATGTATTACCTGTAGTTCTAGTGAGGAGCAGTGACCAGTGGAGTTCAACCGGGTCTGTTGTGAGATAGTAACTCATTGAAGACAATGGTGGATGTGTCGCTCAACTTCGTGGATTAGTTGATTTTATACATTAACACTGTTGGATATCGTCCAGCTTAGTGGCCTAGTGATGAAGCGCTCGCACGTGACCCTGATAGGTCCTGAGTTGGAATCTCATGAGGCGGGATCGTGAATGCACACTGCTGAGGAGTCCCATACTACGATGAAACGGCCATCCAGTGCTTCCACGTTTCCCATAGTGATCTAGCTTTAATTGACTTATGAATTCAATTATTAAATTACTACAATCTCCACAAAACCCTTCTATAATAATAAAAATGAATTATTGAGAATGAGAAGTTATTATTAGTGGCTTTTTTTAAGTGAAAAAAGCCATTACTGGATAGTTCTGCTTTATTTTGCATTGCAGAGTGTAATGTAAACAATTTCACTGATTGAAAATACAATACCACCAATCATTTATAATATAGTACTGTTAAGTGCATCCAACAACAATTTTCGCGGGTGTTCTCAATCATCAGATGTAGAATATTGGGTGAAAATATAAACCTTCTAACTACCATAAACTGAACTAAGGGTAAACAGTTTTTTAAGTTTTTTACAGTTTAACTATAAAGTATTGATATGTCAGAATAAAATATCGAACTAAAAATTTCTCTATTGATTGAGATGTTGAACCGATTGATGTTAGACCACCA